TATTGCCTTATGATAAAGATGTTGTGATAAAGCCGGAAGCTGTTAGCCAATATCAAATAATCCCCACCGCCTGCAAGAACAAGCATTCATATTTGGTAGAAGAAAAGTTTAGCAATTCACGTGACACAGTTTAAGGCTTACTAAGATTACTAGGTACTTGTCGTCTGTGGCTTGACGCCATGCAATCAAAATGCAGGTCTTCTCATTATCTCTTCTGTGTGACAGAAATTCTTCTTCTGTTGTACATTTAGATTGATTGGGTGAGAGAGAAACTTACCTGTACGACACACCGCTCATTGCAAGTGTATAATTCATGCAAAATATATTTTTAAGTTCCTGCAAATTAGATGCCGCCTGGCACTTCTGATACACAATTAAGAATTTGATATTGACTTAGCCCAGCTATGGACTCTCCCGAGAGGTGATTAGATGTTGATAATGCGGGGATAGGTATTCTGCAGAACTCTCAATTTCTGCGCCACTATCAACCGTCTAAACTAAAGTCTGACTGTGCTTATATGTGGGAAAACTGCCGGGTAAGTAGTGTGATGACTTAGATGCGTGGCACTCCTGCGATGTAGACACTGAGACATTTCAAGTCCACCACAACTTACTCTGGCGATATAAATATCCAAGATACTACTTAATTTATCTGAAGAAAGAACTTTGCCAAGAAAGACAATCGCACAGCGAGGCTCACTCATCTGAAGGCGGGCTTCATATTCTTCACTCGATAATCATACTCCAAGGATAAGATTGTCAAATAAAAGGCCATTGATTGCGGTGAAATAAGGTTGTGGGTGTGTGTCGGCTTCTAGTTGTAAAATACTGCTGTATGGAGTAAGCAATGCAAGTGCTTAGCTTTCGCCAATGAATTCAGGGGATATTGAGGGGGAATATTACGCCTCAACGAGTATCATTCGATAGCACTCATCAGACTTCAGATGCTTGTATCTGCATAAATACATTTGCTTATGTCAAACCACCATATAATGTTTTCACTCGCTTTGCCAAGAGTGTCTAAAGCTTCGAACTGTCCGAAAGCATCCCATTCTTGAGTCTGGAAGCCGAGGAATCGGCTACTGGCCGGAGAGTTTCGAGGTAATTGCACTTATAGCCGTGTCAGACGAAAAAGGAGAATGAAAATACGTGAAGTACTAATAGTGCTCAATGGCACTTGGAATCACTCTTGCTATCAAGCCCGCTAGGCTTATTCTTTTTCACTATGCGTTTTCTTTTTCTAGGAGTTCTTTCAACCTTTATTATTCTTCAGTCATATGTTGAAGTCGCTGAAGCAGCTTCGGATCCGCCATATGCCCCCGATGCAGTAGATAAACTAGCAGCAAAAGGTCTTGCGAAACTAGCGGCATATCAAGCTATAAATTATCCGCACAACACTTGCACGATCAAGAATGCCATAAAGCGTCGTGAATGGTAAGGTGACAATGATGTCCCGTTGCCCCCAGATCTAATCTCTTGCAGGAGCGATCTCTCAGGAGCGGATAGAATTGCATACACAAATGCTGTTCTTTGTTTACAGTCCAAAAAGCCAATCACGCCTTCTGAAGTTGTTCCGGGTGTTCGAAGTCGTTTTGATGACTTCGTTGCTACGCATATGAATCAGAGCTTTACCATTCATGCTACAGTAGGTACATGCAATATCTGAGTATCCTGTAACCCGAACTAATGATATAGGGCAATTTTCTGGGCTGGCACAGATATTATGTTCATACGTACGAGAAAGCACTCCGCAAAGAATGCGGATACAAAGGATATCAACCCGTGAGTCTTTAATTCCTCTTTCTTCCATCACCCGCATATGGTATTTCGCACGTCAACCATTTTCGGCCCTATGCTTCAAACTTTCCCACAGCCTATCACTGACGAACTTCAGTATTGGAACTGGGGCAGATACGCCGATGACCCGATACACTCCCCACTCTTCGACGGGAGTCCCACTAGCATGAGCGGCAATGGCTTGTATTACAACTATACTGGTGTTCCTATTAATCTCGCGCCGGCGCCATTCGACATTATCCCGCCAGGTGTCGGTGGTGGATGTGTTACCACAGGCCCGTTCAAGAAGTACAGTTCTTTGGTCATATTATGATATCAACATGCTAAATATTCTTCTAGCATGACTGTTCACCTTGGCCCGGTCTTTGGAACAATATCCGGCACGCCAGTGAACCCTCAAGCCGACGGCTTCGGTTACAATCCACGATGCTTACGCCGTGATGTCAACGTTCATAGTGCTGCTGTTACGAAAACCAACTACACTTACGATCTTATAACAAAACCTTCAAATGCAGATGTATATTGGTTCCAGACCGTCATGCAAGGCTTGTTCAGTATAGGAGAATGGGGCGTTCATACTGGAGGACATTTCACAGTGGGTGGTGATCCGGGTGGTGTAAGTAGATTTCCACTCTAGACCCATCCCTGAAGATCCAAAGTACTCACAATAATACATGTAGGACTTCTTCACATCTCCAGGTGACCCAGCTTTCTATCTCCATCACGGTATGATAGATAGAGTCTGGTGGATATGGCAACTTCAGGATTTGGCACAGAGACAGAATGCCGTCTCCGGAACGATCACTTTGAGTAACGTCCCTCCTAGTAGAAACACCACCTTGGAGGATCTACAAGATATTGGATATAATGCGGGCCCTGTGCCGTTAAAATATTTGATGAACACACTAGGAGGGCTGAATGGAGAATTGTGTTATATTTATGTGTGATTTGAGATGATCAACGTAGGTAAAGAAATAGCATGATGGTTCTGATGATTAAATCGAGATCACATCTCAAGTACAAAGACTAATATCTCCAGAATGATATGTTGAAATGTATATTCCGTACAGATAGAAGAATTGCATTCATTGAGATGGTTGAGTTCATCGCTTGGCCGAGTACTCGTACTGGTGCAGGTGGTACATGATCTTTCTTTGTGTACAACTCAGTGATGGTGAAACATTCTCAGGGGCACATGGACTAATCTACAGGGGCTTATCAACGAATTATCTTATCACATGCCATCTCCAAGTGCTTATCAGTCCCTTATAAGTCCCTTAGCACGCTTAATTTAGCACTTTACGTAGCTCACCTGCGTGCTATCTGAGCTTTGGGGAAGGGGAATGAGAAGGTTCAAAGGGAAGGGAATCCGCAGCAGCATGTTTCCTTTTCTTTTGTTCCATCGAAGTATATACAATCCAAATACAATATAAATACTATACATGTTCGTCTTATAACAGATTATCATCAAATACATTTTCACAACCTTATTCCTCTCAATCAATCGAGCAACGTACAATCAATCATTCAATCAGCCAGTCCAAAATGGCATCCAACACAACTTCTTCCGTCTCTTCTATTCGCAAAGTCATGTCCTTTGCAGGCGGTCTCCTATCACAAATACCAATAATCAACAATCCTTCAACTGCTTCATCGAATGTCGCAGCTCCTAGACCCTACATACCCTTTGGAAATGCACCGTCATGTCCATCAACCTCTCCTCTCTCCTGTCATAACAGCACCGCTGCTCCCGATTCTTGCTGCTTCGTTTATCCCGGAGGTCAACTTCTCCAGACTCAATTCTGGGATTACAGTCCTGCGATAGGGCCAGTTGATAGTTGGACTCTTCATGGACTCTGGTTTGTTCACCTGCCATCAATTCTCACACTTTTGAAAGCTTACCCATTCTTACAGGCCCGATCTCTGCGATGGTTCCTATCCCACATATTGCCATAGTACTCCCCAGTACTACAACATAACTTCCATCCTAACCGCCGCATCGCAAACTGATCTTCTCGCATATATGCACGAGTATTGGCTCCCCAATCGAGGATCCGCCGAAACCTTTTGGGAACATGAGATGAACAAACACGGAACATGCGTAAATACTCTCGCACCATCTTGCTATGGCGACAAGTACGAAGCTGGTGATGAAGTCGTCGATTTCTTTACAAGGGCCGTGGGATTGTTCAAAGAGTTGGATACTTATAAAGCACTCGAGAAGGCGGGAATTGTCCCAAGTTATTCTGCTACTTACACCGAGGATCAGATCCAGGCGGCATTGACTGCGGTTACTGGAAGCGAGGTTGTATTGGGTTGTTCGAGTGGTAGATTGAACCAGGCATGGTATAGCTTTAATGTCAAAGGAAGTCTGCAATTAGGAGAATTTGTGGCTACAGCTCCAGCCGGAAAAGGTGGGAGAGGAACTTGTCCTAGAAAGGGGATTAAATACTTGCCCAAGAAGAAATAATCGCGTTTCTGTATAACCGATTGATGCAGGCTAAACTGCTGCATTTGTATATCTAGGAAACCCCTAGGATTCGATCGGGCTTTTGGATTTCATAAGATGGTTTTTTTTGGATAGGGAAACGTGTGGCATTGCATTGGATGGCGTGTACTCTTAGGACTTTAGATGTGGAAATTGAAGGTACCTTACGGAAGTCTCACGACTTCCCCCCAAATCACCTGCCTTGTCTGATGATCTGATGACCCGACGGTGAGTAACACTCTTTATTTTTGCACCCTGACACGTTCACTGGGAACAAGATAGTCTCGGTATTGATCAATTCGGATGCACAAGCACTATTGATTGGTTCCCGGGTATCTTGAAAGAGACCTAGCCAATACTCTTATGCTGGCTTCGTCATTTGCATATTCGTGGGTCATTTCGCTGTCACACACATGCAGGGAGTTTCTGAATTGTCCAATAGCATCGGATATATTTATTAGTTGAAGATTATATCACCCCGGTCTCCGCAACGGTCTGTCAATCGTGGTGATTATGGGATTTCATCCCAACCCTTGGGTCCTCCACTTTCCCTATGGAAAGAAAAACGGATATCTGACTGCCCGAGATGGTGGGTATCTGCAGATTCCCATCTGCTTGGTCCTTATATTTATTTCTTCAAGGAATCCTCTGTTTTGGTGAAGCGTTGTGTTCGTGTATATCCTCGAGGGAGTCAATCTCAAAATTTGTGGATATAATGTTGGCTTCAATCATTGCTGTTTTGTTATCCTACATTGTATATGGAATAATATGGCGTCTATACTTCAGTCCAATTGCCAAGTTCCCCGGACCGAAGCTGGCTGCTATCTCCATGCTCTATGAAATATACCATGAGATTGTCTTGGGAGGAAAATATACCTTCAAAATCAAGGAGTTGCATGAGAAATATGGTGAGTCCTTTGATCCAGTTGTTTAATATGATCTTGATACTTTTCAAATAGGACCCATAATCCGTATCAATCCCTGGGAGCTTCATATCAATGATCCGGACTATTACGATGAATTGTATGCCGCTGGTGGGAAAAGACGCGATAAATATCCTTACTATACCAAGCAATTTGGTAATTCCGAGTCGATGATTGGTACTGTCTCGCACGATCACCATCGTCTTCGTCGAGGAGCCATGAACCGTTACTTTTCCAAAGCCAGTGTGTTCCGCCTCGAACCCATGATTCAGAAATATGTAGATTCGCTTGTTCATCGGCTCCGTTCGTATAAAGATACTAAGAAGCCGGTTAATCTCTCATGGGCCTTTTCGTGTTTTACTTTTGATGTCATTTCGGAATACGCGTTGGGAAGAACAGATAGCTCTATTGAGAATTCTGACGATTTTCACACGGATTTTCATGATGCGATTGAAAATGTTGGTAACATATCACATGTTACAAAGGTGTTCCCTTGGATTTTCACCTTGATGCAGTGTATGCCATTGTCGCTGATAAGGTTTCTTGATCCGAAGACTGTTAGCGTTGTGGAATTTCAAATGGTGAGCATGCAGTTGCTTATTCTTCTGACATTGAAGGTATTGACTGAATTCTAGGGAATGAAAGCTCAAATTGGTGCTATCATCGATGGAAAGAACGCCAATTATGAACGTTCTTCCCAGCTGACAATCTTCCATGAAATTCTCTCTAGTGATCTTCCCCCAAACGAGAAATCAGTAGCTCGTCTCTGGCAAGAAGGACAAACAGTCATAGGAGCCGGTACTGAAACAACAGCTTGGACCTTATCTGTTATTGCCTACCATGTCCTCGCTAACCCTGATATTCTATCGAAACTTCTTGCCGAGATGGAGGGAAAGAATGCATTAAAGGAATTAGAACAGCTGCCTTATTTGACAGCTGTGATACAAGAGGGACTGAGATTAAGTTTTGGAGTTGTGGCGCATTTGCAAAGGATATCTCCGGATCAAGTATTGAAGTTTCATGAGTGGGAAATTCCTTCTGGTGTATGTTTTTCTCCTGATTCTTTTTTTTCCTCTTCTTTTCTCCCTCTAGAATTTTGGCTCAAATCGCACGTTATAACGGAAGGCTTTTCGATTCTTGACTATGTGATTGGAAGATTCAAATCATTTGAAATATCGTGAAAGTTCACACCCACCCCATCAATCCAAATCATCAATCACCCTTGCCCCCTTCACTCCCATTCCCCGCCGAAATTAACACCACTTCAGACCCCTGTATCCATGTCCTCCTACCTTCAACATCTCGACCCGCGCATATTTCCCTCCCCCAACACATTCTCACCAGACCGTTTCCTTGAAAATCCATCTCTATCAAAATACATTGTAAGTTTCAGCAAAGGATCGCGTCAATGTTTAGGTATCAATTTAGCATGGGCAGAGCTGTATTTGTGTGTCAAGGGTGTTATTGGAGAGTTGAATTGTGGAGATGGGAGTTTGGCGTTGCATGATACGAATGTTGGGGATGTGGAGTGCACCAGTGATTATTTCGTGCCGGCGAGTAGTGGGAGGGGAGTGAGGGTTTTGGTTGGGTAGCTGGGCCATCATATAACACCTACGAACAAACGGTATTATATACCTATTCTAGAAAATACGCCCTTTGCGACATATAAAAATCTTCCTTGAGAACCTTTGACGTTTGACGATGACTGGATCGTGGGCAAGAGTATATATAATTTTTTCTGTCCAACTATACTGGTGGGAATAACTTGTAGCTATTTAACACGATGAAAGTAAAATAAGAACTGAAATGATGATCAAAAATGGTATCCATCTCCTTCCATCCCGCTCTCTTTTTGCTGCCTCTAACGCCCCCTCTTCCAATGACCGCTAACTCCTCACTCCTCTCCAACCTTTTAATGTTTAAGCTCTCCTCTTGAATTCGAGCTGCACCGCCGGATTCGGATGAATTAAATTACCAAGAACAATGTTTCCTGGTCTCTCGCCTCCCTTCATCTCTTTATCCCCGATATTTCTAAACTCCCAATTCCTCAACAATTCTACCATAACTACTTTGATTTCAACTCCTGCAAAGAAACGACCTGGGCATGCGTGGTTACCTATTTGGATGTTAGTCATTAATTTCAAGAGAGATTTCTCTGTTTTCAAGACTGGATTGGATGTAGGTGAAGTTGACAGGAGGTTCAAAGTATGTGAGAGAAAATGGGAGATAGAGAACACATACCATGTCCAAAATTCATAGAATCCTTACTCGTTGTCACATATTGATATTTGGAGTTATTTCCCGGAGTTTCACGTATTGAAGAGAAGCGGAAGGGAGAGAAAACATTAGGAGGATCGAGTTTAGGCATCGTAGAAGGATCGTTGGGAAGCGAAGAGACGTTGGGGCCTGCCAAGTTGACTGCGTGGGAATCGTATACAACGCTTGTTCCCTTGGGGATGGTATGGCCGGTGGAAAGGTGAAGGGGAGCGGTTGTTACGCGGAGACTTGCGGCTGGTATTTGTTAGTTTGTTTTCTCTGCATACTATATTGATTTTTCATGTAGATTGGAAGAAATAATGTTCAACATACTCATACTAGGGGGACTCAGCCTCTGACTTTCTTTCAAGAGGCTATCCAATTTCTTGAGTTTTGTCAATGACTGTTTTTTCAAACATTCTTTTCCATTGCCATCAATATCAAATCCATCTTCTGCGATCACCTGTTCGATTTCTTCGCGGAGAGGTGCGATAAATTCCGGATGTGAAGCGAGATCTAATAAGATATGATAGATAGCCGAACTCGTTGTGTGAATTGAAGCGAATGATAGAGTCAACTGGTTTACGGCCAAGTTGTAAGGATTCTCTCTAAGCTCCGGACTTGTGTGCTTCATCATCCAACTAACGAACGCTCCCTGGTCATCTTCAAATTCATCACCCGATTCCCCGCCCAGTACTTTTCCCTCTCTAAACCTCTGAATACATCCATTAATAACCGGTTTCAACAATTCTGCTGCCTTGTTCGTGTGCGCTTGAACCTTCTGAATTTCAGGCAGGAATGGTGCTACAAAATATCTTGTCCATGCCGGCCATTGAAGCGCAGCATTTTTCGCTTTTATACAATCAGCTGTATAATTAATACTAGTTTGTAGCCACTCTTCGTCTCTGCTAAGAGGTCTTCCCACAAAGACTCTCCCACTAATCAGGGCCACAATCCTGAGTACTTTCTGAAGCAAAATCACTTTGTTCCAAGACTCGCATGTGCCAAGTTCCGTATCTAATGCATAGTGCAGTTCGTCTTGGAGAGGACCTGTAGTTGATGCAACATGACGTGTTAAATCAGTTTTGACAGTTTTAACGACGACAGGTGCATCCCTGCCGAATTTGGTATGGGCTGAGAGGAAAATGCGTTCAAGTTCTTTCTGGAAGGATGTTTTTTCTTCGGGGAGGAGGCGGACTTCGTCGTTGGTGCAATGGGGTAGGACAACCATGGGAGGATCGCTGGGAAGGGTAAATGGTGTGTTAGGGTACTAATTTGTGAGTTAGAATACTGGGATACCAATGGAGAATCAGCTGAAGGAGATATTCCTACTCTCGCTGCGCCTTCACGTAATGCCTCTTGCCAATTGACAGAACCTGGTTTTCCCACGACTGGAAAATCTAACTTTTGGGGCCAAAAAAGTATGGTTCTAATAAGATAGGCTAGAATCACCAACGCCGAAGCACCTAAGAATAACGGTGACATAACCATGGGTTTGCTTCCATCGAAGAGTGCTGGCGACATCTTGATAAATATTTATACAGTCAAAATCTGATTTTGATGGATAAGAAAGTGTGAAGATAGTTCCAATCAACTGAGATGAAAGTAACGATTATATGTCCAGCAGTCGATGTAAAATGTGGATGTAGATCCTTAACTCCAATAGTTCGTATATCTTCAGCAGTTGTAAACCCCAATACTGAAACCCAAGACTGAAACCAGATAACTGAAGCTCGTCCAAAGCTTTCTAGTTATCAAAGAAAGGCCATGAAAGCAAGAATATATAAAGGTTGAAGAATCCAAAGTTCATGTCTTTCATGAGAGCACAGATGACTTATGCACTTGAGTATATTCGTTCCATCTCAATCCTTTCCTGCCCTCTTCATATCTCCCTCCATTGAAAAAACCAATCAAACTCAGCGATCGGCAAACAAGAAGCAATACCCCCCTGCCATGCATATTCCCAATAAAACTGTCACCTAACTTGACACAAACGGATAAAAAACAGCGCGTTTATTTCAACCCACATCTCCCCCTTCCAGTACTCAAGCCGTGTAGTATGTACCCTCTCCTTCCCTGAAACTCCCGACCTGTAAAATCGTCATCATCAAATAACCCTCTCTCATTTGCCGATAACAAGCATACCATTCTGCAAATAGCAGTTTGGGTGGGTGTGTATGCGCATGCAGTGGATAAGGATAAAAGCTTATTCATTCGACATTTGAATCTGCATTGGAATGCCGAGTAGTTCTCGCAGATCATACATCATTCAAGCAAAACTCATCGCGTCCCTTGTAACTATTTTTCGGTACTGGAGTTACCTAGTCACTGCCGGGCGCCTCATAGCCTTTCAAGGTCCATGCATTCACCGTCGTGTCTGGTCTTGTCATGTCAAGAGTTGATTTCATGGACAAGCTCAGACAGTATAAATGTTCAGCCGAAGAATCTGTTACAAGATCCCATTGACAGGTGTGTCATGATACACAACACCGGCCCCTTCCAAAGATCGAACTTCGAAACTTCTGCCAATTTTCGAATGGCTGATCAAGCAAATGTCGTTCAAAAAAGTGCCGGGATTATATTGAAGAAAAGCGGGGCGCATACTCTACCTCCTCCCCCTCCAAAACCTAACAAAGCTTATCAAAGATCTCTCCTCGTACCTCGGAAAAGACATTTTCAACCTCAGACAGATATGTTGAACTAATCATCTGATATGCATACCGTTGATATGCCGTTGATATACCATTGATATACCGTTGATTCACCGTCGATGTACCTCGATGCACCGTTACTGTACACGATAATGGGGGGGAATCGGAACTATGGGATCGCGATTGATTCCTCATCGCAGCGGTGTCTAAGATTAAAGTTTGGACCGTTGTACAACGAGGGGATTATAGCTACGTCCCCTAGTTCATCGATGATACCTTCGTATGATCTGATATATTGGATTTCACAAAGGTTTTGTGTAAGCTTTCCATGTATAGGTAGTTTGCCTGTCCACCAGATGGGCTTTGCTCTTATGACGAGCATGGAGTCGCAAGCGAAGAATACTTTTATGTACAGCAAAACCTCTCTACTCGTGCGGCTAGAAAGTATGTCGCACTCCACTCACAGGCACGTTCCATGAGGTGGTAGAATACAAGATGTTTGGTAGTCCATATTTAGGTGGATTGTTGTATTCTTTCTGACCGCACGAGTATAATGATCGGATCCACTATATAAGGATAACCTCTTCTTATGAATACTTTCCTACATCCTCAAAAATGACCACAAAAAAAACGATATCCTTATAAAGAGATTGTGCTGTATAGACTGACTAATCTTCTCCTTGTCCGGAAATGGGGGGAAAAAACGGCTCCGTATCCGATACGTACCTATTCTCTTGCATGCCTCCCATGAAATTATATAATAAGGTTGCAGCTTGTTTATGTAACACAAATACGAAGATCTTGAAGCTCTGTCATGCAACGTGAATACATGCATGTAGCTATCCATTCACTAAAGTAGTAACCTGATAACATAGTTTATCAGCGAGCGAATCATATCACCGAGCAGATCACTTTTACTTCAATTTATATCTTCAATTCTATATTATTTAACAATAATTAAATTAATTAATTGAAATTATTAAGAATTTAATAATTTAGAATCTATTATATTATTTTAATAAATTCTTATATTATAATCTATCTTTTTATATTTATTATAAATATAATTAAAATATTTTTTTAATTCAATTTGATATTTTATAAATCAATATATTCAAAGCTTTTCGATATATTTTATATTTTTTAATTTAAAAATATAATTTATTATATTTTTTATATTTTTTTTTAAAAAAATCAAATTTATATTAAGAATATATTAAATAATAATATATTTTTTAATTTTATAAGATTATAAAAATTCATTTAAGTTTTGATGTGGGAGATAAAACTATTTATTTTATAATAAAGTGATATATATAGTAAATTATATAATTTAATAACTTTTTGAATATTAAGATTTTTATTTTTTTGAATAATTTTAATAATTAAGATTATTTGAGTTTTTTTATTATTTGATTATATTTTAATTGATTAATAAAATATATATTGAAAGAGAAAGATGTAAATTGAGATAAAAGTGATCTGATCGGTGATATGATCTACTCGCTGATAAACTATGTTATGTGAATTAATAAGTCGAAATAACTCAGGATTGCTCAAGACCATAAATCAGAAACGAATGCAACCTCGTTTAATAATATCTACCCCCTTACCCCCCGCCAACTTCAACTTGCCCCTCGGATCACCTAAGTCCCGTGTATCCACTGCATAAAAACCCGTCGCGAGTGCAAATCTGATTACAGAGCACACCTTTTCTCCTCTCTCCTGTCTTCCAAGACACACATCCTCCCTTCCTCCCTTCCCGTGCTCAACAAAGTTCAAACTACCGAAACTCTAGAACCCGGACTAATATTTGAGTCAACATTGATTTACCTGTCTTAAATTTCCATATATCCTATATCCCACACACGACCTCACTCGCACCAAGACAAGAAAATATCCTCACACCACCTCACCTCATCTCACATCCCAACTACCAACTATACATACCCCTCCAACCCTCCATCCAACCAACCATCTAACACCTACTTACACCCATCCTCCCCTCTCCCCCCTCCCATCAACCAACACCTCCTCAAACAAGACACCAAAACACCCAAGAAGCAGACAGAGAGGGGTATGTACTACCTATCTACCCTCCCACCTAGCTACCTAGTCCGTACCCATACCAGGATATTTTTCTTGACATTACATTACCCCGCATATCCATTAAATTGGTACAAAGATTCCAAGATACACGTATAAATAAATATATGGATTCCCTACAGAAGTAGATTCGTGGGTAAGCAGGCAAGAAAATGCGATTGCATCTCTCGCAAACAGAACTACAAACACAGATACAGACACAGGTACCCCGTACACTCAGCACATAAAGTGTCATTTTGATCTCATCAAGATTTACTTACCTACCCAACTACCCAACTTGAGCATCGCAACTTCCAAGTCCTCCTGCGATCAAGCCCCGGTATACAAATCATATCACATCACACCACATCATTTGCACATCTCGACAATGCACAATAAACAGATATCTTCGAAGACAGTGTTTCATTTAGCATAGATGAGTATGTATTGATTGGATTGTATATGTGAAAGCTTCCGTACCTAATATGTAGATAAATAAGCGCAAGAATACCTATCTACCCGATACACACCCAGTGCGAAATACAATTCAACATCTACTGCCTATTTGAAATCAATCAATTGACCCATGCCACGCGACGCTACTCCACTTCACACCATACAACACCAAACATACGTCCCTATAAATCCCATGCGTGAAATATAGACTATGCTCCAACCTACAACTCTTTGCTCAATCATGTAACCGAGCCGAACCAAATCTCAGAGCGCCCCTCAAAAAGAAAAAAAAAAGAAAAAAGACAATGCCGCCCCATTTCCCATGCCATGCTTATGATCATCTATCCTCATTCGTCATATTACAATGACGTAGAAATCGATGATCCATCCGTAAAACGCCAAAAGATATGCAATTGTAAAGAGTACACACATAAATAAACCACGAGTCCCATTTCCCCTACGTTGTATGCTCCCATCGCCCAGTATGCTTGTTTCCTAGTTCTTGCACCAAGTTCTTGAGTTTGACTAAATGGCAGATCCTAATTCTTCTGATTTTCTCCCTCTGCCTCCATCAAATCATCCATCATCATCCTTTCACTCATACTCTTTGGGGTTCCGGAAAAACTACCCACTCCTCCACTTGCTCTATAACTCAAGACATCGCTTGCGTCAAGTCCACTGCGACCATTGACACTTCCAACAAATGAATTCATAGCACCCATTGACGCGGCACTGGCATGTACTGCATCGTTGACGACTGGCATGCTGAATGGACGGCCTTTGTAAGAACCAACGATGCCATGTGCAGGAGCAGGAGCTATTGTTACTTTCTTATTACTGAAATCATTAGGAATTGGACGAGCAGGAGATTTAGAAAGTTCGACATTGTCGGGACTTTCTTCGATACTTGGCGAAGTAGGTTCTTCTATATCCGATTCATCTTCTTCATCCTGAGGACGGCTTCCGAGACTTGGGTTTTCGTCAAAGGAAAACAAATCCTCTTGTTCATCGTCCTGAAAGGTCAAGCTGGCTGTCTTCTCATCACCCTTTCCTCTAGGTTCCATAGTCTCGAGTGTAAGTGGTTTGCTTGGCGAGTTCATCTGCAAAGGGGAGATTGCTGGTTCTGGGTTCTCATTCTTTTTCGGCGATAGAATGCTCGCAGGTTGTTTGTTGTAACTTCTCATTTGTCGCAAAGACGGCATATCCAACATATCATCATCCGATGGAACATCTGCATCATCCTCCGGTAGAGCCTCTATATGTTTCACTTGAGCTTGTGGTTCGGGTTGTGATATTTTCGTCGGTATGGAGACTGGTGGGATATTTTCGTCTCGAGGCGCGATAGGCGTTGGTCTAGAATCGAAGTAATTGGTAGTGTAACCATCATCTTCCAGAGTATCAACCGAAGCCGAACCATCTGGCGGAGCAACGACGGTGGTCCATTGTGTTCCGTCATCCTCTAGAGGACCTCTCGACAAGGCTCTTAATGCCTGTGAGGAAGATATTCTTTTTGGTGGTGGCGCATCGATATCCTCGACCATTTCCGAACCAGCCTCATCGTCTGAATCATCTGAGAAGGAAGGTGGAAGCATTGGCTCCAATTCTTTGGGCGATGCTGTTGGTAAGACCTCTTCTCCTTCCACATCAAAACGAACCCTTCGAGGACTTGTATTCTTTGAACTAGTAGATGTTCTTCGTAAAGCGCTTCTGCGACGTGGTCCATCACTACTACTATTGGATGCGATCGAAATTTCATCGGTATTTTTCCGTTTGGGTATCGAAGGACTTCTGGGATCTGGAGAAGCATTCAAAGATCTAGTATCTGTACTTGCATCAACAAGCGACTGTGACTGTGACTGTGACTGTGATTGCGATGAGGTATCCATTTGTATATCTTTCGACTTGTTATTGAGTTCGGTATTCGAATTTGATTTTCGTTCGTATCGACTACAAGAATCTAACAATGGCAGATAACTTGGTGTAAAGACTCCTGTGAATTCCTTCTCTCGCGCATGTGGACTTCTCGGACGCTCTTCTTCTTCTGCTGCTGCTGCTGCTGCTGCTACTACCTTCTTCGTATTGTTAGGAGCTATTGACGCCGAGGTACCGAAACCTAATTGTGACTCCATTGCCGTGGAAATTCCGTTGGTCATCACATTTGAATTCTCATGCGGCGTGCTTGTGATTGCGATTGTGTTGTTACCATTGGAAATAGGGTTATGACTGGAACCGGGACTGGAACTGGGATTGTTGTTGCCTGTGCCTGTGCCTGTGTCTGTACCTGTGCCTGTGCCTGTGTTTGTAATTTTGGCGCATGAGTCCAGGTTATCGGTATCGAGATTTTCGGCGAATGGATAAAGAGCCTTATAATTCTTTAATTCTTCGGCAATCATTCTTGAAACGGTCTGGGAAATGTTTGGAGAGACATTCTTTAATAAATCCTCTTCATACTTAATATATTCCTTATTCATATCCTTTCGATATAAATCAACCTTATGATCAAGCTCGGTAAGCTTGTTAGACAGCTCCCTTACAAGCTTGCTTGCTTCGTCCATGATCTGCAGGAGTCTTTTTGCTTATTCTAAACGTCTAGAAGGCGAAAAAACCCAGAGTTGGGGGTTTTGGGTGAGACTTGCGATGACGAGTGGTTGTGGGAAGATTGGATGAGAATCGGTGAGAATTGAGGAAGAATGATAGAATTGATAGACCAATTGATCTTTTCAATGCATTCTCATATACTCTAGGATTGCTTGGAAGGAGGAAGGGGAGGTAGAGGAATTGTTGTTGGAGGAGGAGGAGGAGATGGAGGTGGAAGAGGAGGTGGAAGAGGAGGAAGAAGAGGTATGATGGTAAGGATAGAAAGAAAGGATAGATTTGAGACCCAAAATAATAGATAGATAGGTAAAAAGTTGGATTATTATCGATGATATAATCCAATTGATATAAAAAGTAATTTGTGTAATCGGTTGTAACTGGTGGAGTATTACTTCAATTACTACTTTCTTTATTGCTTTCTTATCTTCTTCTTCTTCTTCTTCTTCTTCTTCTCTCTCTCTCTCGCTCTCGCGCTCTCTCTTTCTCTCTCTCTCTCTCTCTCTCTCTCTCTCTCTCTCTCTCTCTCTCTCTTTCGGATGCCGAATTATTGAAACGAATGTATGTGTATGGATGGTATGTATCTACTCCGTATGTATATGCATATCACACACACTTATCATATCACTGACGATTAGGAAAGATTTTTTCTCTTATTAAGGCGCGGCTTGAAGTCGGTGAAAAAGGATCGTTAGCAACGGACTAGAGAGTCTAGCTTGAATAGTTTCAAAAGTTTACTTCAAAACCAGGAACGGACATCAATCATTGGTAGGTACTGACAGGTGTTATCAATTAAATTGTGCTTTTTGAATGCTTTAAATCAGGTCATATTACTTACTGTACATGTATGTACACTTGGGCACTCATCTTGTTTTCTTGTATTGATCTTGAATGTGAATATGCTCTCCTCAGTCATGAATTTTCAATCAATCCATTCCATTTATCTTCAAATTTCACACTCTGTCCATTAATTGGTAAAGGATTCGAAAATACATGGAGTTTTCATATCAGTCTAGACAATTATTGCGCGTCAAATGGTTCTAGATCAACAAGATATTCATAGATATAATGGGCTTTATGGGTCTACTACTCGTATAAGAGTTCCTCAGGAATCAAAAAAGAGTGAGTCAGTCTTTCTCGATGTGAGCTCGAGAGGATGACTTCTTGGAAATATCCGATATATTGTGTAGTTTCTCCAACGTGAATTATATCGCTACAGGATACACCTGGGCACAATACAATAGGAGAGACTCGTCAATGAGTTAGTTGGAAGCGTCATGATAAAGTGGAAAGTATAAAGCTTCGAGTTGAAGAGAGAAGAGAGTCTTTTTGACATGTATCCTATCCCTTTCTAGTCGATTCCCTTCAATCGAACAAGGTTCAATTGATATTGTTCTTCCAGAGAGATAACAGGTAGATCCAATCTTTACTACATGTCTACCATCTATCTGTGCTGTAGTATCCCTTCAATATCTAGTAACTTCCCAACATGCGATTCAGCTTTGTTCATCATTTCATCATTGCATCACTCCATCATCCTATCAAATACACCTCTATATGGTTGCTGTAAAACAGATCATGCTGTCCTACATATTTCCCAATATCTCCTCAGCCCAGCCGACACCGGCATGGATTCCGAAATTGATCGATTAACTGCAGTGTTCATCACACCGACGTTATACCAGCCAGTAATTCAATACTCTGTCCGCTCCGAGAGTCAGATTTTCAACCTCAAAAATTGAGAATTTAACCTTGAAAGTAGACCATGCAATTGTGCATCGATACAAGGGGTCAGAATTTCATGGTATCTTCCGTTAACCATCACGTGTTGGGGTACGCTTTTCTTATCGCGATGGATCTTGACTGATTACTACTCCGTGAGGTACGAGAGTACCCAGGTTCTACTGCATATCTCATATTAGACTTCATATCTACGCACATTGTACTGACTGAAAAGCTTCATAGGGAGGCGGAGGGTTTCTTCCGTACCTTTCTCTCTGACCAAAACTTAATCTATATTGTGAAGTCACTGATCAAGGAACACTACCTACGTGGTCCAAGTACCGGAGTAAAATGTCCAAAATTTGACTGTTTGGCCCCCAAATACTATGTGCACGAGACTTGCAACAATACTCTTTCGCCGAGATCAATAGTTGTATCCTTGAAGAATAGTCCGTTGGTTCGCCAATTATTGTGGCAAAAGGGGTCATTATTTGACATCCTCATCCGAATTCTGTTAATCTTTGGTAGATTGAAATTCTCCCTTTGATAGTTACCTCGGCTTCATGAAGTTTTTTTGGCCATTCTTCACAAGCAATTGAAATCAGTACTTTCAATGTTTCATTAATCCTTTCAATCTTCGGAAACTTACGGACGATGACTCTTTGTACCACAATTTTTCTCATTGTACATTCTCTCTGCCCTATCGAATCCTAAATCAGTCATATTAATATCGTCAGATGAACATCTGAGATGCTGTACCTGATTGTATATTTGCGTATACCTGCAGCCAATACTCAAGCGAGCATGGCAATAAAATCCCCGTTTGATGTTTGATACACCAATCATTCCTTTCTGAGTAGATGTAACTTTATGCACGTTGAGCCTACATGCCGGTGGTACATGAACTCGTTTCTTGGAAAGTTGGAAGTTCAGCTTAGGCTTTCGTGGTACATTGATGCCTTCTAGGCAATAATTGGCCATGCTCTCTCCTGGATTGGGTACTCATCAATCTAAGCCTCTTCAAAAACGAAGAGAGGATCATTCATACTTCTATTTTGAAATTTTTATCTCACAGCTATGAGCGGAAAGTTTTTGTTGTAAGCTAGATTGATCTACTTTGAACATTCGTTACATGCTACTCATATGACAACCAAGCGGTCACACGAGAGTGAAATGGTTAACCAGCTTACGGCATAGCTCTCGGACTAGCATTTCGATCCCAATATTCATCATTCTATTTCTACAAGTGAGGTGGGTGTTGCAGTTTAATAAAGATGGGTCTGAAGTCGAGGAGAGCGAATGATGTGAAGAAAGATTGCCAAATCAACCACACTGGGTTCCTATATATGATCAAGTTCAACGATTGCTGTCACATACGACCATAGACTGAGGAGAATTGGGCATCCCGTCCGCTCTGCCATACACAAGCCTCAGATCGGTAGATTAGTAGTTGGGTGGGTGACCACCAGCGAATCCCTCCTGTTGTATGTTTTTTGTCTTTTTACCACTTTGCCAGTTGTAAAGAGGATTGTTTCGATAGATGGGATGGAGGGTGACGAGAAGACAGCTTCGGATGAATGTCGGATATCCCGATAATGGTTGAGAAGTTTATGCTCCCATTACACCTCTTAATTGTATGCCATTATCACTTCTTAGCAACCATTGATTAACAGCTCATCTCATGGTCTTGATTTGCCACAATCGGGTAGCAGCGGAGAGCCATAAATTTTCGAATAACGCACATGTGTTCAAGTATTCATTAGATCCATAGAAATTATGGATCTTTTGCTATCTACTCATTTTCTTCACTGTTAGCTACTGCCTGAATGACCAATTTCTTTTGTTCTATAATATAGGAAACTAGTAGTAATCCACTGTCTATCTCCACCACCTCCACAACGGCTGTTTGATGTTACAATATATATTCAATAAACCATCACCCACACATCAAAATAGGCCGGATGGTGTAGTTGGTTATCACGTGTCCTTAACAATTAACACTTGTTAAAAACGGACAAGGTCCTGGGATCGTGCCCCAGTCTGGTCATTTATTTTTATTTTATTTTTTCACGACGCGTCGGTGGTGCTTGTTATTTTTCGAGGGGGCTACCAGTATGTTTTGGGAATTGAAAAGTCGGATGATTAAATAGTCTGCGTTCCATTCTTTGCCTTTATGAAGAGTATATATATAGTATTTACAGTTCATTATATGTTCTTTTCAGACGACATTGGTAGAGATAGAGAGTCTTTTAGATGAACACTCGCTCCTGTTCCGTTTTCAACTCTCCCCTTATCAACTGGTGGACTTGAGCAAAGAAAAGATGGTTTCAATTTGGAAGTTGGGTATCTATGCCATGAAGATTTTGTCCTACAAAGACAATATGGTGATGATTTTCTGGGAGTTTTGAAGAGCAAATGGAGAAGGGGAAGGGTTAGGAGAGGTTGAGCGCGCTTCTTCTATTGAATTAGATGTTAGATCACAGCGGTTTCAAAAACAAAGCACCAAAAGTTATGTTACTTACTATCTAAATCTAGATAATCAAACCTTTAACAACGCGCACAATTGAATCAAATACTATGTATAAGCTCAAATCATGAATCCAAGCATCATAGATTTAATTTCCTCCTCGTCTACTCGAGGAGTGTCTCGGGGAGTGAGACGTTTGAGAAAGTAGCAAATGGGAATGGGAATGTTTCAGCGCTGAATATCATAGAAATGGCTCACAGTAGGTTTTCAGAAAGCAGGAAGAATCGATATGTTGTATGTAAGTGTAGTGATTTGGAAAATGTTGAGATTTGTATATTGTTAACAATATACAACCACTATCTGTGTATACATCTCAATGTGAACCTTCAAGATTCGAGAAAGCAAAATTGAAATAAATCATATCGACAGGAGTTCACTCACGTCTTCTGCCTTCCCATGCATTCATCCATAAGAATTTCCACACCCCCTTCCTTAGTTTAGTCCCTCTCGCTTCCCCTCATCTCCCAACCCCTCAAGATATAAAAACACAAAATCGACAAATATCTCAAACCACCAGATAAAAGGATGAAATAAATTGCAAAACTTTACTGGAGCGGCAGGGAGTCGAACCCTGGACTTCATCGAGATGAATCGGATGTCTTGGGCAAGATATCTGACAATGCAAACGAGGCACTCTACCACTGAGTTACAGCCCCGAGATTGGTAGTTTAGATGAAGATTTTAAGGGGCTAGGAAGGTATATAAAGGAGAAGA